AAGATTCTGCCTTAAGTGCTTTGGACATGTCATCAGGAGGGACCAGTCCCTGGAGGTAGACAAATTAAGCTCAGCAAAGGGGAAGATCAGGGAGAAGGAGGAACACCCTCAACAAGATGGATTGCTCCAGTGGCTGTACCAATGGGCTCAAACATAGGGATGCGTGTGTGGATAGCACAGAATTGGGCAGTGATTTGTTCTGTTGCATGTTGGGTTGCCCTGAGTCGCTGGTTTTGAAAGAATCAGGGCTAGCAATACGGAGACCACTGAGCATTACTGAACGATTCCATGAGTTGATGTACGTAACGTCTTAATGCTGCATAGCCAGGAGAGGCTGTGTCAAACATGATATGGAACGTGCTCTGCTGGAACCACATGCTGTAGCTAATCTGCTGGTCTCAACCCTTCCATCTTTCCACGCTTAAGCCTTGCTGAAGGTTTTAACAAGATAATGAAGGTACAAGCACGTAGGTATTGTTGTTAGGTGCCATCCAGTCTGTTCTGACGTAGAGCGACCTGATACGCAACAGAAGCCAAACTGCCTGGTTTTAGACCATCCACACAATTATTCCTATGCTTGATCTGATTGTTTCAGTCACGGTGTTAATCCATAGTAAAAACACATGACAAGTCCCCCTCCCCCAAAGCCAAACTCCCTGCCATTGAGTTGACTCTGACTCATAGCAATCAATAGGACAGGGTAGAACTGGCCCTGTGGGTTTCAGAGACTGGAGCTCTTTACGGGAGTAGAAAGCCTTGTCTTTCTCCCTTGGAGTGGGTGGTGGTTTCAAACAGCTGACCTTGCAATTAGGAGCCCAACACACAACCCAGTATACCACCAGGGCTCCAAAAACAGATAACAGAGGTTCAATACATGGCAAAAAGTTTTTTTTTTTCTTACTTTTGTCTTTATAGACAAAATAATCACGAGCGATAATGCTAGATGAAAGAGAGAGACCAGGAGCACAGGCTTGTGTCTTTATGCATCTAAGTAAGCATTGCGTGAGTCCATTTCTTATGGACTCTCTTAAAATGTGCCCCTTCCCCATCCTTCACGGAGCTTTTCTGTGTCAGTGACGTAAAGCGAGAGCTCTCTTCATGATCCTCAGCAATTTTTCTGAGGCTGCTATGAAAACATGAGGGGTCTATTGATGAGGAGCTGAGTCTGTGGACCTAGAGGTGGCTAGGTTGTGTCCAGGAAGATGCCACAGGTATTGCATCCTACACGAGTGGATAAAACATGACTCCTACCATAACCTACCATGACTCCATCCAGTTCTTGAACTGAGAAACCCAGGTTTCCATTCCAAATATAAAACAAATAGCATATTCTTGGTCTCTATAATACATATCTTTAGGGAAGTGATTAGGGATTGAATTTGTAGTTTTGTTTCTGGAGATTTTTCATGTGAGAATTAGTCCCCGTGTAGAATTAGGGTATTTAAAAATACAATAATCACCTATTCAGTGTGATTAATGGTATAGGTTACAGAGAGATGACATTTATTAGTTGAGAAAATTCAAGAGTCCTTCAAAATATTCTACTCCACAGGAGAAGACAAGAATGAAACGATCATCATATATTCATCTACTAGGAGCCTGGTGACATAGTGGTTACTTATTGGGCTATAATCTGCAAGATCAGCAGTTGAAAACCACCAGCTGTCCTTGGGAGAAAAATGGGACTTTCTACTCCTGTAGAGTTCCCAAAACCAAACCCACTGCCATCGTCAATGCTGAATCATAGTGAGCCTCCTGTGGGGTTCTAGGACTGTAACTGTTTATGGGAGTAGAAAGCCATATCTTTCTCCCTTGAAGCTGTTGGTGGTTTTGAACTGCTGACCATTCACATGACCGCTGCCCAACACTTAACCACTACAGGAGTTACGGTCTCATAAATTCACAGGGGGGCAGTTCTACTTTGTCCTTTAGAGTGGCCATGAGTCGGCATCAACTCATCAACTCAATGGCAGTGAGGTTTTTTGGTGGGTTGTTTTTTTTTTGGTTTTGAGCATCCTTGACAGACAGGACCACATAATCCATCTTATTTTGTTTCACCAGATAATGATGCACATGAAAGAGTTCTAAACACCAACATTTTTGTTTTCCAACTGTTATTGATTTGATTGCAACTCATGGGGACCTCATATAGGTGTCAGAGTAGCATGGTGCCCCATTATGTTTGCAGTGGCTGAGGTTTCAAAAGTAGAGGTTTTCAATCTTTTCTGTGATTTTTTTTCATATTGGGGTTAAAATGATGTATTTTGTCTTTGTGGGTAGCCTTTTTGAATCTTTGTTATGTGTTTTTCTATTTTTCTATATATGAGACCCAGAATAAGGGTTACTGGGATGTAAAAGGGAGTGGATATCAAGAAGTTCAAGAAGGATGAAAATGCTTTGAAACCAGTGGTGGTGGCATTGTACAACACTGCTTGATGTGCTTGAACTAGGGGATGGTATGATGTCTATACTAGTTCCCAACAAAATGGTTTAAAAAAAAAACGTAGAGCACCAGACCTTTTTTTCCAAAGTGCTTCTGGGTGGATTTGAACTACCAACCTCTTAGTTAACAGCTGAACAGTTTGTGACCACCCAGGCACCAGAAACTCAGAATGGCCTTACTTTAACATAAGACTTTATGATTCCATTGTTATTTTACTTAAACACTATCAGATGACCCCAAATAAGATCAGATAATATCATATACATTCACCATAATCCAAAGAAGTGGCTGTTGCTTGCTTTAGAAGCAGATGGTCTTTGGGCCTCTACTTAAACTTACTTCAGTACAAGAATGGTCTCTTTTAACAATGTGGCATTGTAGGATACTCACCCTCCTGACATGATCCCTGAAGACAAAATGAGTGCATAAGCAAATGTGGTGAAGAAAACTGATGATGTCTGGCTATTAAAAATATAGCATCTGGGGTGTTAAGGCTTGAAGTTAAACAAGCAACCATCTAGCAGGGAAGCCCACACAGAAGAAGCACACCAGCCTGTGTGATCATGAGGTGTCAACAGGAATGGATATCAGAAGGTCAAAAATAAGCAACCGAATTGATGTGAAGGAGCGAGGATGTGGACAGTCTTGTACAAAAGGGCCAAAGGAAGAGATGATATATCCCGAGCCTGGAATACCACTGATGAAAGACATAACTATCCTTTAGTTCATAATATTTCCTCTCCTTATATTATGGTTTCAGTTCTACCTCATTAACCTTGTTAGATTTGTGTATGGTTATTGGTAAAATTGAGATTGTTTGATGCATGAAAGCCAACATAGGTAACACCCCAGAAAAAGTAACAGGAGTAATGATTTCTTTAGAGTATGGAAAGAAGGGGTGGGAGGTGGAGCTGATAGCAATGATGACTTTATAACCCCACTTGCAGGGAGTGAACAACAGAATTGTAGGAGAATGGATATATTAGATAGTGTAAGATACGGGGGAAAATACACACACACACAATAACAATAAAGGTTGGGGGAGGGGGATGGGTGGTATAAAAGGGGAGCGGATATCAAAGAGGTCAAGAGGAAGGCAACTGTTTTGATACTGATCGTGGTAACCAGGGTGCAACACTGCCTGAAGTGACTGAGCTATGGATTGTGACGTTATCTGGAAGAGCTCCCCATAAAATGATTAAAAACATAAAATAAAAGTTTTCTAAGGAAAAATAGTATGTCCCTTTGTACAGGAGGATAGCGATCACATAGTTAGAATTCCCC